GAAAACATTGGTGAATGCCACAAATTCTCCTGAATCACTCGTATGCACAACTTAAGAACAAATCTGTGCGTACGAATGGTTCTTGCATGAGGCCCATTGTTCTGTTTCAACATGATCCAGTTTGCCCCAAGCTTCAGTCATATAGTGCTCAAGACTGGTCTTGGTCTTAAGACCAACATTAAGACCACTGTTTGATGGTCTCGGTCTTGTCTTGGTCTTGGACATTGAGGACTTGGGATTGTACTTTAAGACCAGTCAAGGCCACTGCTGTGGAAACATCACAAATTGCCAGAATATTGTCCAGTTTATATAACATCTTTGCTTTCTCTGGGTGTGAACTGTACTGATGCAGCTGTCCTAAAGGTTTTCCACATGTGAAAATATTTTCTCCAGGGTGCCACTTGCCGACCCCCTTGCTCCACCCTGATAATACTAACTACTGTATATTCATGAAATCTGTTAGTTTTCTAGTATTTTGGTCTCAGTACTTGTGGCTTTCACCCACATGAGCTAAAGTACCTTCCTCTCTCCACCCTCCTCCTCGATGGTGACGACCTGGTGACCTTTGTGCTCCGTCTCGGTGCAGAACTGGCACACGCACGCCTGTTCGACCCTGCAGAACATCTCCAGGAGCCTCTCGTGCTTCTTGCACATCCTGTCCTGCAGGTTCTTCACCGGCTCCATCTGCTTGTGCAGCTTCAGGGTGGCCACCCTCCTGTGGGGCTCCAGGTGGGCCTCGCAGTACGACGTCAGACACACCAGGCAGGACTTCAGGGCCTTCACGCGCTGCGACGCCGTGGCGCACACGTCGCACACGACATCGCCCGCGTCGGCTGCAGACAGCAGCGAGGCGGAGGAGGGGACGACGGTTTGTCTGAACGCGTCCGCCAGCTCCTTGAAGGCAGCGTTGATGCTGATTTCTGGTCTGGAGGTGAAAGTCTTGTCGCAGGTGGGGCAGCGGCAGACGTTGCTGCTGTTCCAGAAGCTCTGGATGCAGGCCCGGCAGAAGTTGTGTCCGCAGGGAGTGGTCACCGGGTCGGTGAGCACTTCCTGACAGATGGTGCACTGGAACTGTTTTTGTTGTAGCATGATGCTGGAGGAGGTTGGAGTCTGCAGGGCAAGAAATAAGGAAGTCACATGATCAGCTTGAGGAACAATATTAACTGATATTAGCTTCTGTAGCTTATATTGCCATACTGCTGCTCAGGCTACAATTTAACACAAATTATTAACCGTTACAAGCCAGTTCTGCCTTTGAATTATGGGCTTTTTACACAGTGTAAAATAAAATGTTTTGTTTATTGAGGATTGTGATCTGATAATACAGAACTATGGGCAGGTCAGTCCTATCAGCTTGAGGAAAGTGTAGTTCATTATTCTGCAGAAAGGTTTCAATTATGTGGTGTTGGTTGCAGGTGTGACTCAACATTTAATGTCAAACTGGTCCAGGAACAAACAAACAACACCTGACTATAACACTGCCACCAACCGTATGTGTAGGGCAAGGTTCCAAATGTGACACAATGGTACTTTAAATAAATTAAAAACACCTCGTTCACACCCAGCTCTGATTCTGTTGACTGGGAAAACCTGTTTTGACTTTACCTTAATAGAATAATTGAAAAGTGCACACAACTTTCCACTCATGAACTTCACACGTGGAAAATCACATTCACCTGTGAAAGCATGTTAATGTGAAAGACCTGAGCTGACTCGGACAGTTTTTAAGTGGATTCCACACAAGATCACGTGTGAAAAATGCTTTTAAAGAGATCCACGATTAATTGTAACATTAGGCTTTATTAAAAAAAACTTTAATTTCAACTGTAAAGCAAAGACAGTAAAATACTGCCGGCTGTTTAGTTTTAAATATTTTAAAGTATTTTCACACGTCTGAGCCATTTTATTATCACAGCAAAGCATACAGGATGATGATATTCAGTAGTTTTTTTTTGTTTTTATCCACCCTAAAGCCTAACCTTGATGATCGACTCTTTTAAATGAAACCAGAGCATCTTGACAGAGAGGAGAAGGTAGAAATGACTCAGCCAGGAACTGAAAATATGCATGGAGGACAACAGAGCTGCTTCATGGAAGAAGAACCTCAGTCTAGCCTGTTAGCCATTCTGTTAGCGCTGAGCTAACAGAACTATATATATA